GGCCCCTTTCATCATCCCGTGACACCTCCAAATTAACCAAAATCGGTTATTTCACCCCCTGTGAGAAGCACTGGTTTAGCAGCTGCATCGTACAGAGAATTTATGACTAATTCTAAGAGATTATTGGTATATCGTACAATTTACTTTCAAAGGTCACTCTAAAAAATCCCTACACACATATTCTTTCGAGGGATCGGAATGTTGATTGTTTTAGTATGTTTCACGTTCATCCATCCGGCAAAAATTGGGCAGACTAGTGGCGTCCCTTAGTACCTCTGAGTTTTCTAAAAGTATGATTCGTCATAAGATTCATTCGCATTATTGACTCAGGTGTTTCAGATGACGTTCTTATACTGTCATATTTGGAGCAGTGAAGTAGTTCGTGCGTGATACTTGTAACAAGAAAGCAAAATATCAACGATATGTGGACAGACGATGAATCCAATAAACAGGAAATTGAGGAGGAAAATCTTTCGTTCTAAGGTGTTTCTAAATGATTCTTGCTGTGAGATTTTCTGCTATTTTGCTGACCTCATCAAACAAGACGAGCAATTTTTGTGTGAATCGATACATTCACTGTCATCCACGATGGCTGTGATAGATGTGATTTGAAATAATCTGCATGTTTCTCTTCCTGTCACAAACTCATTCACTTGTTCAGATCAAGGACCGGATGCGTCCAATGGCTCATCAGCTCTGATTCTGATAAATTCAACAACTATTGCTTCTTACCGGGCTTTCCTTCCTTCCGAATTTTCATCAATCATGGATTCAATAACATTTGCTTGTTCCTTACTGCGGTTGCAACCTGAAAACCATTATTGTCCAGTTACTTCATTGCACCGAGTTTGTCAACTCATTCACATGTGCGCAAAAATTCAATCAAAATTTAGCAGAAATGAATCATAATTTTTTTTTATTCTATCATATTCCGTGGATACCATTCATTTGATTCAGAAACAGCTATATCTGTTTGTATCGAATAACACTGACTCAATTTTCTCTCATAAACAATTATTGATGTAAACAGAAAGTGACTAATGAGAGAGATTTGCACTTTCCCGCATATAGAATTACCTCTCAACAACCAATTAATACCGTTTGATTTCAAAACTTGAAGTAGCAATAATATTTTTTCGTCATAAATATCATTACTTATCATAAGTTTACCATTCACTGCCTTTGTTATACGCTCTCATAATCATTCCCTTGTAATGGCACTATTCTGCAGTAAATCACTTTAACCGTATGCGCAGATCAGTTTTAGTGCATGACGTTTTGGTATGTTACAAGTAAACTGGATGTTTCAGTCCAGTTCCTTTGTACCTGAGTGAGAAAAGCGAGCTTTTCGTGCTCTCCTCATATCTAACAATAAGTGAAATTTTTGCATTGAAACGTTACAATCTACTTTTTTGCTCCATGACAATGCCACACAGAAACGTTCGATTCGGCATCATTTTGGAATGACTTCAGTAATTCCGAATAAAATAACACTGTCAATGCTTCATACTGTTTTTTTTNTTTTTTTTGCACTGAACATTTCGGTCTTTCATCTAACAAACTGCTCGTATCGGTACGCTCAATCCTAAGTTGGAGTTCTTCATTGAACTTTCGATGCGCATTGAATGACAGTTCAGTGTCGCTTTTTAGTGAAAGGGGATTGCAAATAGAATTGATTGTACATCTGGTTATTGTTATCAGTGTTTGAGAAGATGAATTGTGAGTCTACTGATCGTTAAAAGGGACAACGGACTGATAACGCTTATCACTATTCTCGCAATGAACCACTCACAGCTGGCACTTCTGCTTCTTGCTCTTGTGTATCAGTTCGCTGAACCGAGATTACTTTTCTACCGCAGACGACCAATCCGGTATCCTTTTCCTAAATGCACTCTATTCCATTTAGAATATATGCCGTCTCTGTGAAAACAGTTGCGAGTCCTAGAAATTTATCGAGCGCTTTTTGAAAAATTCACGAAACGGTCATTCAAGAATGAGGGCAAGATTCGAGTGTAACACAAAAGTTGTAATGTTGATCTCTATTTTGCAGAATGCAAGTCTGCATCTCAATATGAATTATTTTCATTCTCGGTTACCACTAATTCAAAACTGAGACTTCTTAATGACATCGCGCTTTTTACATAACTCTTTACTAAAACCTTCTCATGTCGAAAGTTTTTGATAAGATTGTAAACATGAAGTCACAAGATTTTCTCTTACTAAATATTGCCTTACCGAAATGCGAAATTGTATTCCGTTCATCATTTTTGCTTACAATGAGAGGAACAAATTTTCTGAGTTTGAAATGATGTCAGCAAGCAAATATTTGACCACTTCTAAGTTGCATTCATGAAATTCCTTTGATAGAATGATCGCACGTGTTATTCTATTGTATTTTCTAGAATCAACGCTGAACCGGAAGATGAAGCCGAGAATCATCCACGAATATGGGCACTACTCGTCGCCGGATCAAATGATTGGTACAATTATCGACATCAGGTGTGTTCTTACCTTCTGTTAATATTGCTGTGAACTTCTTTATTGCTTGTTGCTCATCAACTCATAGCTACTGCTTATTTTCCATCAATTCTGAGTGAAAATTGCTCAGAGTTGGCGATTGATTGTTATTATTAACATTCTTTTGCAATATTATCACATTTTTAATTATTGATTGCTGATAGAAAGGTAATTCAGGCTGATGTTTGTCATGCATATCATGTATTGAGACATCATGGCATACCTGAGGAACATATTATAACGATGATGTATGATGACATTGCAAATAGTGAAGAGTAAGTACTTTCTGATCAGTGATTCTTATCAACAATTTATAGATCGCTCATGTGAACGATTACTTCATGCTGTTCATCGATTGATTAAATGTATCGATGATCACTTCATATGCTGTCATGTTCACTGCTATGTTCTGTTAACGATCATGTGACAATAACTCAAAGATTATTATGGTCCACTGAAATCTTTTATCGTATTAACTGATGACATTCACGTGAATGGCCATAGCAGTTTATTTTCACATACTCTCATCAATAATGTTTGAACCACTTTCAGCAATCCATATCCTGGTAAACTCTTCAACAGACCGCATGGACCCGATGTTTATCATGGAGTCAAGATCGACTATAGAGAGAAAGACGTGACGCCAGAGAACTTCCTTGCGATCTTACAAGGGAATTCATCCGCCGTTAAAGGTGGCAATGGTCGAGTGATCAAGAGTAATGCACATGATCACATATTCGTTTACTTCACGGATCATGGATCTACTGGATCAGTTGCTTTCCCATACGACATTTTAAGTGCTTGCTCTGGATTGATTTTAGCATGAACGCATTTTTTTAGCCATCTTTATGGCACTGAAACAAATATAAATGAGAACAACCAGATTTTCGACGAAAAGTTGCATT